GTAATCTTATGTTCACTGTTCATTTTTTATAAATATAGGATTTGTATTAAATCTATATTCATTCATATAGTCAAATCGAATCGAAAATCGAATCGAATTGAGAGCTTGAAAATCGAATCGTATTCTGTGATCTGAATCGATACCCAGCCCTAATCATTACAGTCTTCAGTGTCACATGATCCTTCTGAAATAATTTGAATATGCTGATTTGGTTCTCAAGAAACATTTATTATCATCAATGTTGCGAACAGTTATGGTGATATAGTTTTTTTTTTTTTTTAACATACTTTTTTCAGAATTCTTTGATAAATAAAAACTTCAAAAGAACAGCATTTATTTAAAAAAGAAATCTTCTGTAACATTACATATGTTTTTCCTGTCCATTTTTGATCAATTTAATGCTTCCTTGCTGAATAAATGTATTAATTTCTTTCCAAAAATATTTTTTTTTACTGACCTCAAGGCTAGTGTATATTTATAGTAGTTGCATTCAAAATAGGCTTTCTTCCGAATACAAACAATTATGAACAAAGAAACAGATGCTGATATTGTTATTCTACTAATGGACACATGGGGGTGACTCAACATATTTAAGACTTTCACTCATGGTAGATTCCAAATTAAGTGATCCATTTACTGGAAGCAATGATGCCTTAAATCAACGCTAATTTTATTAAATATATTACACAGGCAAGCGAATGCATCCCATAATGACCTTGAGAAGCATGCAGTGAATGACGGATTCCATTTTTAGCTGCTAGGAAATTTTCACAATGATCACAATGAGGGAAAGTACCTCAACGCCAACAAAAAGACTAGAATTGTGCCTAAAATACCCTATTTTCAGATATTTCAGGAACATACAATGTAGAACATCTGTACTTCAGATTGAATATGGAGCAGATGTGCACAGAAACCAAACAAGATAATTAACCTTTAATGTCGCTCAAAAAAAAACAAAACTTTTTTTTTTTACAACATTTTGAACATTTTAGTGAACATATAAACTC